TTTTTCCATGCAAACAAATCCATTTAAGTTTTTGTTTTTAAATGTTTGAATATAATAAAAGCCATAGTTTTTAATATTTAAATTTCTTCTATACTATTTAAGAAGTGTACTGTGTACCATTTTTTTTTCAATCTAGAATCTACACAATTCCAATTTTCCATAATATTCACTATATACATGTATTATTTTATAAACTGGTTTTAAGAACATAACCTTAATCCCTTTATGGTTGTAGAACATAGATCCTTCCAAAAAATATATTATTTAAACATTTTAAACATGTTCCAAAATTTAGAAAAATAAATCTTTTATTATGTTGTAATTCATAATATATAAGTTATGTGAGTATTGAGTACGGTATAGTAAGAATTACTACACCTAGATATAAACCATATACTGATATGCAGGGCTAGGATTTATATGCCACAGCATGTTTTTTTGTGACTTCTGATTATTGATTTTGTAAGTAATATCCACGAATCACCTCATGATGAGATAAATGGTGGTATTTTTATTTTGCATGTTTTTGCATATTTTGAATAAAATGAATATTATTGCATATTCCAATTATAAGAATTCGAAAAATTMATTTTTTATAGAATATTTCGTAAAACTTGGTTTTTTTTGTCAAACTTACATTATATTTTTATAAATACAATCCTATRGGCTATGGTACAATAGGTATGCGATTAAAGATGGAATAGTTTGACGGAGAAAGATAAACACAGTTAATAAAAGTATGTAAGTTAATATAAAATACAAGACGGTCGTTATATGTAATACACAAAATGAATGTGAATTATAATTTTCATTTCTAAATTTTTTTATTTCTCAATTACATTATATTAAGACAACAGCCAATCACTGATGTATTTAAATAATTAATATTTTTGTTGTAACTATATTTTTAAGTTTATCTTTTAAAAATTTAAATGCATATTTTACAAATTGTTATTTCATACAAAGCCTAGTCCTGTGGATATATGCTTAAGAATTCCAGAAACCGGAATCTGAGAATTTRAATAGAATAGTCTTAAAATAAAAATGGGTGTGAGCATGATGGTGAATTACTTTTTCAATTAATCTATATTTTTGAATTTATATTCTAAACTATAAGACCTATATGGCTATTGGCTATGTATAACTCCCTCACTGTCTTCTTAAGAATATAAAACTAAAAATAAATTATCGGTAGTGATATTCTGAATAACTATAAATTTAAAAATATTAGAACAAGTTTTAGTGCCCCGTGGTGACTTTTTAATATATTTTTGAGATTCATATTTCATTTTTATCCCTAAGAGAATATTTAATTTTTATTAAATTAAAATTATTTATTTATCTCCTGTGAATTATCATTGATATTTTTGTACTCCAATCATTATTATTGTTATTATTATGTACTAGATTGTTTCTATTTGTTCTCATAACAGGTAAATCATCTTAACAATCGTCTGAATACAAATTATTAAATAATAATATATTATATAATAGATAATCATAAATATTACAAACAGTTAAAATTTTTCATATTTTCAAATAAATTTACAACATTTTTAATTCCAATGAGATTATTTTTTCAGATCTTCATTATATAAATTTGTTTTAATTATACATAGAATTTAAAATTGTATTTATTAAAATGTATGGTTATTTTTTAATATAGTTTAATTTTGGATCGTATAAACWGGTATTAAATATTAGATACAAGTAAATTAAAATATTAATTAATATATAGGTTATAGCCAATAGGTACAGTATAATATTTGAATAATGAAATTACTAGTATAAATCTAAATACAACTTCGATTTACTTTTGAATCTGCCCATTTTATATAAACAAAATTCCTACCAAAAACCTGATCAACTATTCGTAAATTAAACTTTTCAGTATTAAACATTTTAGTGACAAATGTAGTCACGTATATTATGTTTCTATGTTTCTCAAACATTTTGTAAATTCACCCAGTATCCACATGTCTTTATACGTCGAAGGTTGGGTTTCACATACAGTACATACACACTGACTGTCGTAATTTTAAAATTTAATTCTTCACATATTATATCTACAATGCATATAAGTAAGTTTTTGTTTTGAAGTATTACTTTGTTTTCATCTTGTTCATTACAATAACATATTAAATATTTTGGTTCAAGTCTGATGATACCATGTATTCATATATATAGACATCATGTTCTTCGCCATTTATTTACTATACGACGTTGTATTATGTAGTATTAGTCGAAATTAATATGTTTTCAGCAATGATGGTCAAATATCTTAGTTTGACGTATATACATTTCGAACAGTACTGCACATGTCAAAAGTTTTTACTGCTATGTACAGTTTTCCATATAAAATATAATAGATTGTAATATTATATTATAGCCTATAAATAGGTATCTAACATAACATTTAAATATCGGTTAATTTACAACATATTTACTATATTATATAATAGCCTATATAAATAACATAAAAAATTATTTTTGTTTTTAAAAAATACGCAACGTTTGCTGCAGATATTTATTTTGAAAATAACTATTACAACTGCAAGTATATGGGTACTTTTAAAGCAGRTGTAATCTGTTAAATGCAAAAGTGGGTGGCATTTGGTCCAATAATTATAATAAATAATAGGAGTAAASAATAAAGATATTGTTTTGGCATTTATAATATATCCACATAACCAAATAATAGGTTTTTATACGCGACCTATTCAATATTAATCATCCGCACACAATTTCAAATATATTATGACAGCGTTGAAGTATATCAGTCATACTGATGATTGACTATCATTATAGGTAAATTGTATAAATTAATTAAGTTCTGTGAGTATGTGACTTGAAAATATGCATGCTAATCCCCATAATATTCCATAATCCATATGCAAATTAAAAATCTAAAAATAACAATAATTTCATTTTTGTTTATAATTTCTAAAATCGACACATTCATAACACTGAACAGTATGATTTGTAAATTTGTATTAAATTTCAGTTATACTGGTATTTATGGAATTATATTCTATTCAAATATTAACATTCAACGCCCACTTGTTTCTTTGGGTAACTGAGATATACACTGGTGCCTGGTGGGCAGTTATAGAGAGATCAGATTGTCAAAAGTGTCACTGGCAATATAATTCACTACTACGTCACTCGAGTAAATCTAGCAGGATTATTTAAATACAATACAATTAATGCCTATAAAGAAAAACCAAAAGCTATGTTGGTTCCTTAATAGTGTTCARTCTGTGGTAGACCAAACAATGACCGTAATCCATTTGCCTTTTAAATCCGGATTAATCTTACGAAATCATCTAAGTAGTCAGATAACTAAAAGCGCTTAATAATATTACGTTCAACTAATTACATGGTCCCATCTTTTCTAAATAATATAACAAATCACTTCTAGCCAATTCGTACCAGTTTAGTAGTTAAAAGCTATTTATAGAAGCCATAAGTGTAACTRTAGAGTGCAGGTGGTGGTTTATTAAAACTGACTATAAATTATAACAGTCCCGCGACCTTAATATACGTAGGATGCTGTTTTTATGGCTTTACCTACTTGAATTTTCTTCAATAATGTCGGACAGAATATTTAATAATTATACGACTAATACAGAACGATCATTATTATATTATTTAATAAATCAAATTTTGTCTGCATTTTTGCTTACATAAAATGAACAATGTACATTTAAATATATCAATATATGTATATTTTTACTAAAAATGTTGTTAAAAAGTTTGGAAAAATCTAATTCGTTAAAAAACATTACGATAACTATATAATTGTTGATAATAATATTAATACATTTGGTGATTGATAGAATATATTATAATATATTATAATATATTATATACAAGGTATCCCACGAGGATTTCCACATTGTGATGTCTCACGAAATAATGGAGATATTAAAATTTTGGTTTTTGAAAAGACTCACAAGGATAATAACTACAATTATTTCATTGTTTAATTTATTTTAATGTTTTGGCAAAAAATATATTTTTTTATTTAATTATTTCCAGAAAAATTAAAGATAGCCATCTTGTGGAGTTAATTTTCTGGAAATATTGACGTTTCAAAATTTTATTTTCATTAATTTTCTGATTTTTAGTAATTTTTCTAGTTTTTATTAAATAAAATATGATTATAACTTACTATTGGGCACACTGAAAGCGTACGACTGACCGTACGAGAACACACATGGCACGACGGGACTGAYATGTTTGATAACACTTCGGTGTTAAATAATTTGCAACTTTTCTCGAAACTAAAAAAAAATGTTTTATCAGAAAATTAATGAATAATGTACATTATTTCGGAAGAAATCGCAATGGGTAAATCCTCGCGAKACACTCAATATATATAGCGTAGAAYATATGCAATATATATAAGTATAGTCAATAATTTCGAATTAAATTTTTCTCATAAAAAATGTGTTGGTGAACACTAACTAAGATTCATTGATACGGCATTACGGCATATAATATTATAATCATATAATTACTAATTAATTTACAGTATATTAGTTATTATTATAATATTATGTATAGGCGATGTAAATCGATAAATACATTTAAAAAACAATAATATTATTTATTATATATTAGACAGTAATAATATTATTAATGTATCTATATTATTATTTAAATATATTATTAAAATTAATCRTGTTTAAAATATTTAATTACGCTGCGACGACGACGGTAGAACTTAAATATAAAAAGTTTATAATCTATTTAGGTATTCATAGCTACACATAACAATATCAACACAATGAATTTGAAGATAGTATGCGGACTATTTAAAAGAATAAACATAAAATATACAGGTGTAATATACATATATGGGATACATTATAGTTTCCCGTTCCATAAGCCCAATTGCAGTACGCAATAACGTTTTATAATACTGMAATTCCTATATAACTAACAGCTAAACAAACACGGAAAAAAAATTAAAAACAAAAAAAAAATCGCTTTGTTTAAGATTTTAAATCTAATGTAGTGTTATAAACAATTAATACTTGACATGATCTCGTTTGGAATAATGACGGTAAGTAATTTTAAATAGCTATATTTCATGTTATAAATTAATATTCATTAAACCTTAATACTTATTTTGGAACCAGCCTTGTTTTAGTTCAATATGATCAGAATATATATTATTATGTAGATGTAAAAACACATGTTTATATAATATAGGTTATACACATGCATACCTACTAGTTACTGGCTTACTGCACATCGTAGTGCGTCTATAGAAACATATTATAGCGGTAGTCTATCGACTATCGTGGATTGTTAATTGTTTTTATTTAGTTCATCAAATATTTTTACCAAAAACTGAATACAATAAATTCATCCAGAAATTTTTAATTTAGTTTATTTTTAGCATTAAATAAAAAGTAATTGGAGTTTTGTTAAACAACAAATAAACGTATTGATATATTATTGCTAAAATATAGTAAGACATATTATTTTAAATATAATAGCATTGTATATTAGTTATACAGAGTTTAAACTAAATAAATCTAATTCCAAAATATTCAATCGACATTAAATGTATAGAATTGTCTAAAMAAATTTAAAGATTTTTCAAAAATCAAAATTAGGTAATAGGTATTATATGTTTGAAACTTTGAACCAATGTTGGAATCTGCAGTGGGTCCAATTTTTTTATAATAATGTGTGACGTGTCTGCTAATTAATATTTTATTATAATTATCACGATTTATATTGTATTACTTATACAGTTATATGGCTATATTACTATATTATTATAGATGCAGCCGATGCACGGCTATCTTCTACTTGTCTACAGAGCTCAAAAGTAGATATCATGTTGTTAGTACTGAATACTGATTAATGATTAAAAAATCAATTTCACAACGAAGGCCGTTTCTAATCTAATAAATACTTTTATCAATCATGGGCTATGATTCTATGACTGATAAAGGTCAAAATTATCACCTTTAAATACATTACCTGAAAAAAATCCCATTTAACGTTATTTTAAAGTCAATACCGTAAATACCTATAGTTTAATTCGATCGGAAATAGGTATATGTATTATGTATTGACAAGTTGCATTATAAGTATCGTTAATTTTTAAATATTTACGTTTTTGAAGAACATATTTTATAAATATTAYACACGATGGCATGTATAATTAATAGTGTCACGTCAATTCATCATGGCTAAATGCATCGTACGTCAATTCACCCATGGTCATTTTATTGCAACGTCAATTTATCGCGTTATAAATTTATCACAAGTCAATTTATCGCGTGTTATCGTTTTATATGATTTTTAAACTCTAATGAATTCTGCCAATGCTATAGCCTTAGCTTCAGTCTTATTATGACAACCGTCAAATCGTCATTATAACTGTCGTGTATTTATTGAGTACGCTCATTTAATATTGTTTCAACATACGGTTTATATGGACACCAGGCCATTGTGGAATAGATGGCAATGAGAAAGCTGGCAAAATAGCTCGTGAAGCAATAATAGCAATCCTCTGACCGAAATACGTACGTACTCATCACTCATCGACATCCGCTGAAATGTCAACACTTTTTGTACCAATCTATGGGAATCTGAATGGCGGCGCACGCCCAATAACAAATTAAGAGAAATAAAAAATACTACCGAATACTGGCCTAAACCCCATTCATCAAACTGTAAAAATGAAGTAGTTATCAGTATCGTATAGGTCACTCAAAGATTTCCCATGGACATCTTATGCGCAGAGAAGAACCTGTAATGTGCCTAACCTGCGGAGAATCTCTCACAGTTAAGCATCTCCTTATCCACTACCGTATCCATACAGATACCAGAAAAAATCTAAAATTGCCCGACAACCTCTTTGAAGCCCTCAGCCCTACCTATGACAATACCAAAAATTACCAATTACGATTACTACTATTATTATTTTTATTTATTATTATAATTTGGCGATCATTTGACGCGTGATGAATATTTAGCCACGGTCAATTGACGTATATCCATAATTAACACTATGTAAGTATTAATGTCTACCTATATATTTGATCGATATAAAAACTAGCAATAAATAATTTAAATCGTATTAAAAAAATTACAGTTATATCAGAAATATTAATAAAATATTTTAATATCAATAACTTTTTTGATACTACAGTCTACAGCTCACAGATTGTCAACAACATTGCCATAGTTATTCATATACAATAAAATTTATGCGTGGGTAAAGTACTTATAGTATTATTTCTCTGTGATCGGGTTACGGTCAGTATTGTAAGTTATAGTGAAACAAATAATGAAATTACATCAGTTGACTAGACAGTTGTAGTTGGTAGGTACTAACAAGCTACAGTTTATTTAGGCTAAAATTATAACTTCTCTGCAGGGTAATTAAACCAGAATGAAATAATAGTTATGAAATAATATAGAACTTTATTCTATATAATCTGTGTCAGTTATTTTCTYTTAGATGAATGTTGTATTTTCGGAAGCACAATAGCTTAGATTAGGTACATGATACATAGTAGATACATGCATATAGTTGCATATATGATATATGATATTATAGTCCATATTGTACATTTTATATACCTACATAGTGTATTATGTGGCATACACCATATTTTATTTCTATACATATTATTATTTGGCTATATATAACATTGAGTACGATCTTAATGTTCTCATTGAAATGTAACAATATACAATACGTAGGTATACTACGTTTATGACGTAGAACGTGTTCTATATAATACCTATGTAATGTATTATTATTGTAATGGGTAATTTTCAAATGGAAACACTCAAGTTCGTGGTACTATAAGCCTACCAAAACAAAATATTTATTTAATCCATTGTAATATTGGTATTGGAAAACTATATTGCGGAAAAAGCATATTATAGAATGTATACGATTTTAACTATTTGACAACCGACAAACACACACACACACACCAAAAGTCAAAACAAAAATGTAACAGCAATATGTGTCTAAATTTAATAGTTTTTAGTTTTAGTAAAAATATTCAACGTTTTAAATCAAAGAACAAACAGGGGAAGTAACTCTGTTGTATATTAACGCATAGGTTTCGAGTTAACCTCATCATTGAGAAAGTCACGACTGCATGTAATGGAAGTGTCCACTGGCAACTTTAGTTTGAATTCAATGATAATTCAATGCATACCAAAAACGATTCTAAGGTGTATGAGCCCTTATTTCTACCTTCTACGTATGCGAAATATAATGTGAAATAAAATACGTATACCAAGATTGGAAAATATCGATTACAACCATTCGCCAAATGGCGATACAATATAAATATATTGTTTCAGGAAAAAATGAAGAAAAGTATTTATAGTAGGGTTTTATAATTTTAAATATGTTGTTATGATTATATGTTCAAAAAATATATTTTTTTTGCCAATTTTTTTATGCATATTTTTTATTTTTCATACGTATTTCAACGGTTTAGTGCATATATTTATACATATTATTTAAGTTTTTTAGCGCATATTTAGTTGGTTTTTAATGCATATAAATAGTCTGCACTCTATATATTTATCTAAATTTGTAAAAAAAAACATGCCATTTATGCAGTATTAAGAAATTGGTTTTTTTCATAATTATTTATTTTGTTCAAATTCCAATAATCTTCTATAAATAATAAACTAATGAAGTAGGTGTTTAATATATTTTTAAATTCTTCTGAATAGAACCTTTTAATTAATGTTTTACTATCTATACCTAAGGCATATTTTTAGTAGTTTTACCTTCATAAAATTCATTAACTCATATATACTTGAACTCGATTCATTATAAATTTATAAATTATTATTATAATATTCCATAGTAAATAYTCAATTAATATATTTAATAATTATACTTAAAATGTAAAATTATTCATTTAAAAATGAAATACGTTACAATCAACAAATCGGGCACTTTATACCTACTATAAAGTTGACTTGTTTTCTTTTTTCTTACTCTCATATTACAGGTAAACAAATTTAATTATACCTAATATAGTAATACATTTTTAAGAAACTAGTAAGATACTAATTACTAGAGGTAGCTGTATAAAATGTTGAGTAGAATATACTATTTTTATGATTGGCTTACATAGCTCACGATAGTATCACATACATAAAAAAACAGATTGTTGTAAAGCCAATATTATGTTCTTCTCTTGGTTCAGAATCTAAAATTTGTGCTGATTATATTGTATGTAGAGGGGTGACGTGAATATTATTTAATACGGCCGCCATAACATTTTGTCTCGCATCAGTTGCATCGTACGTTGTCGCGTCAACACCGGCGTGTGCTAAAATATCATATTCTATTTTCAAAATATTTAGAAATATTGTTTTTAGCTTACTATYGTAAGCGTCATAAGGGCCTATAATTATTATATTTATTTTTAAATTAAATTGTGGGGCGAGACACCGCTATACTCGTATACTGTGTCGGCGCAAATCGCCACTATTATTATTCAGCATAAAATTGTAACTTGTGTGTTGTGTGTGTGTAGTTTATATCGCTGTTTTCTGACTTGTGTATTATTTTCTGTATTCTTAAATACAGCTTTATTAAATACGGTTTTGTTCGTACACAAAAGCTATACATTTTTTAATATTATAAGCTATTCTGTTGGACCAGAACATATTATATTGTTATTTGTCAGTCACAAGGGCTGTACATTTATAATCGGATATTTTTCCTGTTCAGTCATAAGGGCTTGATTTATTATTATTATATTTTGTATACCACTATTGTGTTGCTGTGATTTTTATATATTTGTTAATTTATTATTGATATCGTGTATTATACAGCAACTCATTTTTACCTGAAACGTGTTACCAATGTTACCATCATTTATTATTATTAGTTATTTGTAAACACACCCACACTCATACACATTTAGACACAAATACACACATTGAACAATACACGCTACATTCTACATAGCTCGACAGTATTTACCCGGCGATCCCACCAATGCTGTTCAAACTATTACACTACTACACATCCAGCTAGTCCTTCACATAGGT